TATTCTGCGATTGAATCAATGGATGACAGCAAACGATACTCATCAAAGGGAACCACTGAATTGCGAGCATCACTTGTGGTCAAATTGAGCATATTAGGTTTCGACTAAGTTGTTGTTGACTGCGAAATCATTTGAGGAGTCCACTTTGTAAATGCGTTCGGATACGATGACAACGATGCTGTTGTTGTATCATGAACATTTCGGGCCAGCAGGCTACTCATCGAGAAATCTACACGTGACTCGTCACGTCTTATCGGAGCCAGTTCATCACCAAACGATGGCTCTTGACGCAACATATAATGTTTCTGCTGCTCCAGTTGTTGCGACTCTTGCCGTGTTTCACTTAAATCTTGGTGTGAGCATTGCAGCTCCNAACGATGGCTCTTGACGCAACATATAATGTTTCTGCTGTTCCAGTTGTTGCGGTTCTTGCCGTGTTTCACTTAAACCTTGGTGTGAGCATTGCAGCTCCGAATGTGATTCGGCTATGCATTTTTCTTCTGGCTCACGGAAATCACGCGTTTCTGGATGTTTGAGACGTTGAGATTGACGTATGCAAACGAAATATTCGATGGCTTTCAGCAGTTGCCCATTGCAACCCTCCAAAACTAATTCCAGCACTCTGCGCTCTTGCTCCTCGAACAACATTGATAGTAGTTCGAGCGGTTTCAAACGTTCCAAGCGATTTTCTTTTTGTTGATCCTGCTCGGCCAGCATCATTTCTTTGGACAACGATGGAGGTTTGTCGTTTGTGACTGTTGTTTCTTCTGGAATCGGCGATTCACTTCGCGACTCTGCAAAAGATTTTTCTTACAAAAATATTTTCAAATTCGGATGCTTGATCTCCCAGTGAATCTATATTGACTCAATTCCGCCTTTGATAAGTTGCTCCTAGGTGCGTAGTTGTTTCACAGGCATAATTGTATCTAATTGTAAGTTGGCTGCTGCGAACGACTCAACACATTTGTGTATATCTTAAGTCCATGGAAAAGCAAGCAACATTCAAAGATCTTAGAAAAAGGTTAACTTGATTCGAGCTCAGTGCAATCTCATTAGAATTGCACTGTTTTACTCTGAATTGTTTGTAAATGACAGTTGCTGATGGTTACAATATGAATGAAAAATATCTCAATAGCAGATTTTTGAGTTGTTAGCAACGAAATTAATTCGGATTTTCGAAAAGCTTACGATTAGCTTATTTACTTGAAATGAACAATTCAAGATATCTGCAGAATTAATTAGTCATACCGTTCTGCTGTTCCGATGGTGTGGTATTGTTGTCGAACGGCCAGAGTGGTCCCTGAGGTAGGTCAAACGAAGTACATTCGCCAGCCACCACCCTCAAACCTAGCGCTAGAGCATCTTCAGCAGCTTGCTTCCGTTTCAGTGCCACCTGCGCTGCCATCACACGTTGACGTTCGGCGATCAAGTTGCATTTCTCACAAACGCATTTCCTTGAAAAAATTGATTTTAGAACAGAACAAGTGAAATGAAAATGAAACTGATCCCACTGAAATCGGCTGACCATCCATTTCAATCGAAATTCACAAAAAGTTCAAACTGTGAACATATAGTCATCCCCATTCCCTGTAATCTTCTTTTCGAGAACACTCTTGGGATTCCCTTAACTGTCCTATCTTACTGGCAATATTGGGTCAATCCCAGTACGGATAGTAGTATTTCTAAAACCAACTTAAAGGCACAACGCTGTTTATGTCCCTTCAACCATGACACAAGTCCATGGTTTCTACACCTCGCACATTTTGGTTTACGTTCACGTTGTTCACAGCGAATGGACGGTGTGAAGTCAAATGACATCGTTTTATTGTCTGAAATGAAGACATCACTAAATTTTGATCCGTAATTGATCATAAGGATATAAATAAACTCTGGATAATCACACCGAATGATTCGAAGGTCGCATGGTAATGCATGAAATTTGTTGAACAGTAACAATAACACGACTAATGACTTGAAGAATCAGGTAAATAAACACCAGTTAATTTCAAAAAGATTTTTGACGGTAATGAAAAGATAGAAATTTCAGTGACAATATGAAGACGTTAATAATAATGATTATAAAAGCAGCAACAGTTACAGTAACCACATATGCAGCAGCAACACTCTCCTATAACATCCTTTTTTAGCCACCACACGTTACTACTCGAACAGCACACTCGCTATTCTTGACTGTCCCTTAAGCCACTGGTGCAGAATTAGGGGGGCTCTCATCAACATGAAATAATCATCAAAACTACGATACAATAACATCGTCACCACCATAACACTTGCAAACTTCACTGCTCTTAACTCAGTATTACTCAACGCATTCGGTATCGACCAATCATGTAACGTTTGCTGGGTGGAGTCAGCTAATAAAAGTAACTCTTAAGAAAACGATAAAAAGGAGGAGAAACAACCGA